TTTGCGCTTATCGCTAAATTAAACAACAGAAACTGTTCGTATCGGAACAACTGATTTTGCTTATTATTGTGAGTAATTAGCCACTTACTGTCGGTTTATTCAGACTGCGATATGCGTTGTAACTTTACACACACTTATTGATACTTTGGCAAAATTATTTCACTCTGCTCCTCTCGATTTTCGGGTTTAATGCAGGAGCAAGCCAATTGCACTTCATACGCTTGACCGCAGCGTTGCCGAATCCGAAGGTTGGTTATAACTACAGCAAATTGCTCTCTATCTTGAGCTGTTCTTAGTATCGAATGTGTGTCCAGCCTGTCCAGTTTCTTATATTTTTCAGCCAGGAGCATTTTCTTCTTCCTGGACCTCTTCTTCCTCCCACTTTCCCTTCCATTATCAGTCGTTGGAAGGTGTATTTTTTTCCTCTGTAAATATGTCCTAGATAACTCGTTTTTCTGGTTTCAATATTTAGGAGTTTTCTCTCAGTCCCCATTCTTCTCAGCATCTCCTTGTTGGTCACGGGCTCTGTCCAAGAGATCTTCAGCATCCTTGTAAAAACCCACGTCTCAAAGGCTTCTACACGTCTCATACTTGTGATTCCGAGAGTCCATGTTTCCACTCCGATAGCAATATGGAATAAATGAATGTTTATAAGTTTATTATAATTTTTTTCATTTCTTGAAAAGCGGACCTAGCATACTCTATACGAGCAAGTATTTCAACTTCGTAGTCAAGATTGTTTGTTACCCAGCAACCAAGATACTGGAATTTGTGTACGAGTTCTATCTGTTTGTAGTAGATACGAATATTAATGTCGGCATTTGGTGCACGTGTAATGGCCATTACTTTTGTTTTATTTGTGTTTATAATCAACCCCAAGCTATCTCCCTCTCTGGTTATGGAATTCAAAAGTCGTTGCAAACCCTCAGCACTGCCCGCAAGAATGACGATGTCGTCTGCATAGCTTAGTTGTTTACATATTCTCCGTTGATTTTTATTCCTTCTTCAATATTTTGAGGGCATTTTGGAATATCTTTTCGGAATATATATTAAACAATAATGGAGAAATTATACAGCCCTGGCGAACTCTTCTTTTTATTGACATTTCTGGTGTCATACGATTGCCTATTTTAATCGACACCATTTGATCCCAATGTAGGTTTTTAATAAGGGCCACCGTGTATTGATCTATACCATGGTGTTGTTGTATACATTTATTACTAATTCACAATCAGATAACCCAGTGATTAAGAGTATTTCTGTTTGGCTGAACTATTGAAGCATTATGATTTCGAACCATATTACGTGCGTATTGTTGGTTCAAGAGATAACAGAAATCGACAAAGAAGTCCAAAATATCCATAATAAAAAATTATCATTGGCATTATTGTTATAGTAGGAATACAAGGTATTCCTTTTGATAGTTCTTTTAAATTAAAAATATATAGAGCAATTATAATTATCCAGTTAAATTGTTGAAGAATGAATATTAAGAAAATCTTAGTACATTTCTGCAACTACTTTACTAAAAGCACAACAGACTCTTATCCGGCTTCCGCATTCCATGTAAATTTATTTTGGACGTAAAAAATATTACATTCGGGAACAAAATTTTGACCTGAGCAGGTACGTTTTAAAAATGTTTCTGTCTTTAAATTATTTAGTCACTACTAACTGATTTCGTCTAAATGGTAATTTACACACGATAATATAATAAATAATCAGAGGAAGCCTGTCTATAACGATAAAGGATAAGTGTCTGTAAAATAATTATTTTTGAATAATGAAAGTTACGGGAATTTTTCTTGTTTTTAATAAAATGTTATTCGATATTTGACGGTAATCAAATATGAGAGTTGTTATAAGTGGGAAAACAATCTAAAATATTTTCCCGTAAAATGTTAAATATGTAAAAAGATAATCTAAAAACAACCTAATAGATACTAGTATTGAAGAAAAAGATATTAGATCTATATCGATGGTGAAGGATCAATATGTCCTATCAAAAAAATCGCTACTTTTCAGAAGAGCGAAAAAATTATTTTATAGATATAGTTAATGGACGAGGTGCAAAAAAACACGTTAATTTTATTTCTTAAAAGTTAGGATAAATTGAAATAAAAGTTTGTGATACATAGGACATATTACAACTTATAATTGTATTTTAATTTTTCACGTTTGCGTGTATAGCGGAGGATAATTTTCAATCGGAGGATACTTTTTAGACCTTGTTGGAAATTCAATGAGTTTTGAGCTAGAATGGTCCAGTTTTACCTTGATAACGCCCCGTGGATTATAATTGATAACCCTGATATCCATAACTCTACCTGGTCGTATCGGTGAATATGTCAGAGGGTTTGTATAATTAAAAAAAAAAAACTGAACTTACAGTTTATTGATTCATACGGTCATGGGTTTTTTCTGGCTTCTCTAGTAATACCAATGTAGTCGCCTGGAAGCTTAATTTTCTGGTTTTTTAATTTTCGTTCAATACAGGAGTGCACTGTGTTTATCAAAGCGTTGGACATAACACAATTTCTATTTTGCACCGTACATCCGTCCGAATATATCGGTTTTCTATCATCAGTGAAACAGTATTTGGCAAGATAGTCTAAGAAGTGAATATAGAGGCTACCAGTTGATTGTTCTGGCCCTCAGAAAACCAGTAACAAGTAGCGTGTTTTGTAGCTACGTTATATACTGTGATGTTATTGCAGCACAATTTTGTTGTAATAAAAAGCATTTGCCTGGATGAATGGTGCAAGTTTTACAGCCTGAACATCGAGTTTCAGGGTGATTTGATTGCCAAGTGCTGTTTTGTTTTTATCTTTGTCTTTTGCAGCTCTAGCTGTATCCTTTTTGTTAATATGATCCAGCCAAATATTCTCCATAATAATTCCACTTCTGTAGCTTGCACAAGTATTACATGGATTCTTTTTCGTGTGTAAAATTGAAATATTTTTCTTGACAATCATTGCACTAAAGGTTTCCTGCGTACACATCCAACTGTTTCTTGTTCACACTTACTAAGGTAGACTTTATAGACATCCATGATCGTATGGAACGTAGGTTCCAAATACAATTTGGAGGAGCATTTTCTAGCATAGTGTAAAGGCATTTTTGGGAGGGCATTTAAAAAATTGTGTGGAAAGTCTATGTTGTATATTAGTTTCTGTCCAGTTTTGTATCGTTTACCATCTGGAGGATGAGGCATTTTTAAGAACTTTGTTTAACTCAATATTGCACCATCCGATACTTTTTCGCACTATTACCTAATTTTCACTTTTGCCGGACTATTATTTACAGACTTCGGATTTGGCATTTTGTGTCCGACGATTTGCACACTATCACATAATTTACTCACTGCATATTAACATCATCCTCATCTTCTCTATCAGCGCTATCACTTTCATTACTGTCACTCTCAACCGTCACATTTAATACCACAGAATCAATATCGTTCATCAACCCGTTAATAACCCAAACTTTTTGCACTTCCTTAATAGCAAGTTAACAATAGTTTTTCGAGTTTTCCACTATTATTACACCAAACGCATTTCTTATTAATTGTTCCATAGCGGCGGTCTTAAACTCTGTATTGTGTAAAGCAATATGTCTTTTGACTTGACTCCATACCATTTCAATTGGATTTAACTCACAGTGATATGGAGGTAGTCTCAGAATGGCAACATTTTTCTCTTTGTACATCTGGTCGATTTTATAATCTTCAAAAAAGATATCTTTTTCCAGCAACTATGGCTTCATTTGATCTTTATTGAAGGCTTGTGTCGGAATCACTTCTTCTCTCCTCGAATGGTACGAAGCGTTGTCCATCACCACAACAGTTTTCCCTGGAAGATTAGGAAGCAGCTTGTTCTTAAACCATTGTTCACATATAGGACCATCCTGATATTCCGCTGGGTTTTTTAGCTAAAAAGCAAAAAGCAGCACCTTCTACAAAGTCCAATTCTCTACCCGTATATAACCGCTATAACAAATCGGGGGTCTCGTTGTGTCGGCTGTTTTAGGCCTGTTGACAACCCCTTAAAAAACTCATCCTTGGTTGAAGTCACTGAGAGTCCACCATTCACCGAAGTTTCGTCCAAATAAACGACGGTGTATTCTTAAGAATGAAGTTTTCTTAAATCTCACGCAAATACTGATGCCTCCATTTTAGAATATCGAGCCGTTCAATCATGCTTGACTTTACTCCTCGTTTGCAAAAATCCAAATTCATTTCATGGAGTATTCTCCACATTATTGTGCGTGACATGTTTGCTAAATCTTTGTCTCTTTTAAACTGTGCAAAAACTCTGTTCAATGGCGGCAATAAATTTTTAAAGAAAAAACTATGCACGATGGCACGAAGCCACTTATGAACTGCTGCATCGTAAGTGAGCTAGCTGCTGTTCACTCTACTTTTGGTACGTCTTCTTGTTTTTTTATGGGCCTTAGTCCTCCTTCCGCAGCTTCTTTGCGTATTTTAGAAATAGTACTAATACTTACTCCCGTTATAGCACTTGCTTTATCGGTTAAACTTTTAACACTTTAAACAATTTGTTGCACGGATGTCCAAGATATTCCCTTGGCTTAATTTAGGAATTTCCATTTTCAATTAACGTTTAACTGTAAAGTCAGAATAACTACTATAGAGCCTTATTATCATTATGTAGTCAGAGAACGACATAAAATCGCTGACATACGCACACCGTATTATTTAAAGTTGCAATTAATAATTAAATATATGCATTCCAACGAATGGATTTCGATGGACTAGAACAAAATTGTTTACTTAGTGTTTTATTGGTTGAAGTAGTTAAAACAAACGGATGTTATTAAAAATTGTATAGAATATACTTCAAGATAGTGATTTTTCTTTTATTAGTTTTCCAATTTCTCCAATATAATTCACATTTTTTATGTACCATTTATTTATTTATTATTGTACCATTGTATAATATGAATGTTATAAGCAAAAAATTTAATTCCAACAATTTTAGGGATACGGCAGGCCAAGAAAGATTTCGAACCATCACAACCGCTTACTACCGTGGGGCTATGGGTATTATGTTGGTCTATGATATAACGAATGAAAAAAGTTTCGAAAATATCAAAAACTGGATTAGAAACATCGAAGAAAATGCATCGGCAGATGTGGAAAAAATGTTATTAGGTAACAAATGTGAATTAAAAGACAAAAGGCAAGTATCAAAGGAGAAAGGAGAACAGCTTGCCGTAGAATATGGTATTAAATTTATTGAAACGAGTGCAAAAGCGAGTATTCGAGTAGAAGAAGCGTTTTTCACATTAGCTAGGGATATAAAAACTAAAATGGAAAAAAAGCTGGTAAGTTTTTGTGCTTTACAATATTTTAAACTGTGAAGATGAAAAGGTAAAAATAATTTATTCGATACATATTTGCTCTCTAGCTAAAAACACCTTTTCATCTTTAAAATAGTGCAAAAATAATTCAAAATGAAATAAGGATAATTTAAATACGTAATATATCAACATAATATACATTATTTATAACAAGAGATAAGATTGGCACAGTGATTGATGTGCTGTGAATTTAAAATATGTTTGGGTACGAATTTTTTTTTAAACGTGACCAATAAGGTATACATCGTGAGCCCAAGTGACATTGCATATTCACTCTTTTGGAAACCAAAATAAATAATTAAACGGAACATTACAAATTTATGTTTACAACTGATAAATCATACTATAATTTAAAATTCTTCATAGAACTGTTATCAATCATTTTTTAATTAGGGTACACGCTTGTCTAATTTAGTTTTTAAATCGTCTACGTATGTATGTTCTTCATGATAAACGATTCCATTTAAATAACCCCCATACAAAAAAATCTAAGGGTGATAAGACAAGCGATCTTGGAGGCAATCGATAGGGTCCGTTAGTTCCAATCCATCTGTTTGGAAATGTGGCGGTATGTCATACCATAACTCCTCTTTTACGTATGGAGACTAGCTTCATCACTTCACAAAATTCTAGTTAACAAGTCATGAATGTCTTGTATCATCAGTTGCATTGAGGCGATGCAGGTTAGTCTTCGATCCAAATCTGTGTGTGGCAAATCATGAACCAAACACAGTTTAAATGGATGGTAATGGTGGTTTTTAAATCCTTTATACTGTAGTCGAAGACACTCCAGCAATGGACCTTATGGACACATATAGATATAATCGTTACATATGCTAAAATATTCACCAAGTTTTGTTCGGTCTGTGTTGGTTTGACATGATTTCTATGTTTACATTTCGGAAATAAACCTTGTCGCATCTTCTCCTCAGCCACAGCAAAAGTTACATAAGACGGTGTTCTTCTTTCGGATAAGCGTTCCCTGTATAAGGCTTGAGCATGTTTCCTACATTCATCATAAATCAACAACATATCTACGTAGTTATTAGGTGGGAATAGGAAAGGAGTTTTACTACTGTATGAACTGAAAATTCTGTTAAAACAACAATGAACGTATTAGTGAGTGAATGTAAGAAATGGCACTAGCTGTTGACGAGAACAGTTGGAGAATGAACTGATTCAGAAATACATTTTACTTTTAACTGTTAAGACAAAGTTGGGGATGATATTGAATAACGACTGATTTTTTTCCCTCTTCTTCCTATTAAATGACATTTTCTGTAGGTATATGCGAACGTATTTGTCAACATACAACTGATATCGTTACATATAGTGTTGCCCAAAATCGGTCTTGGTCTCGTTCTTGCGTTTTCGCAAGACCAAGACCGCCTAATTTTAGCAAGACCAAGACTGACCGGCAAGATTTAAGCAAGAACAAGACTAAACCTGCTAGACTCATGCGTCTTGCAGTTATAACTGAGTGTCGTTTTAGCGAGTATAGTAGTTCGGGTATATACTTAGAGACTGTATGAGACGCAAAAAATATGTAACAAAAATTTGGAAAACTGGATTTATGTGCATTACGAACAATACCATAAACATATATACCGAATCAAAATATTCATTAAAAAATCACGTTTGATACGTACTCAGAGGTCATAATTACAATGTAAAAATAAAATACATAAAGTACATTCTTTTCCAGCAGATGACTTCTTCGCTATGAAATTAATTGTCCAGATTTTGAGAATAGCTGCCCTCTAATCATAAAATAATGTACTTGCATTGTGACGCCGACAGTAATATCTTATCGAAATTATTTTAAAAATATGTCACCTTAGCTAATAAAAAATATAACACTTGTTGCTACGGATCCCCACTTCATAATTCAATTTTTTCCCATTATAATTTAGTTAGGAGGAATCTAAATAAACAAATCTTTCGGCCTAACATTGTTTGTGCTATGAAAGAGCCCGGCTAATATTCAAAAGTAACGAGACATATTAATAACAGATAATGTCGTCTACCGTGTTAACAAAATACCGAAATATTTAGAATAACGAAGTAACGATATATAATTCTCGGTTTGTTACTTAGGGTATTGGATAGTAACGGACATAAAGTAACTAGTAGTAGTTACTCTTTCGACATCGCTAAACTTCATTCCCAATTGAGCTTTCTTTTGAGTCTAATGTAATAATAATTGTTTTTCATCTAATCCTTGTTGTTCCCGGAGTGACAAGTTTACAATTTGACATAAGGAACAAAGATTCAAATAGTTATATTCAAAGTAGTGAATGTTGGATTTATAGATCTAAAAGACCTAAAAACAAATTTGAGGAATTTTTGGAAATTATTCATTCATCCCAAATTGCTTTGTGTAAATTGTGCCGACCTAGAAAGGTTTAGAATTACAAATATTTCTTCCTGAAAAACCAAAAATTCGGTGGAGATACCACAAACTTTTTAATAACCGGTGGAAAAAGTGGGCATGTAAAAAAATATAATTATTACCTTATTACCCATTACATATATTATGCACCTATACACACACAGACATATATATATATATATATATATATATATATATATATATATATATATAATATATATATATATATATATATATATATATATATATATATATTGTATAGCTGTACTACTTTATTTTGGTTAATTAATGTATTTATTAAGTGTAGATATCTCTGTATTAAGTTTGATTATCTATAAAATAGAACTAAGATTGTTAACAACATTTATGTTGCTTTAATAAGTGGATTATAGTTTGTTATCTATCTCCTAACGAATATGTACACTTTGATACATGTATGTGGATTTTTTGCCACATGCCAATCTTTTTTAAGATTTCCATTTCATATATAGTCCATCAATCCCTTTCTAGTCAGATAATGTTTTTTAAAATACAGTCAACTTTATGTCATTAATTTGTTTTTTTTTTTGTGTTTTAACTATGTATTAGCACATGGAAGCCTATTAAATGCAAACGTTTATTAAGAAACAGATTGACTTACGTGGGCCATTACAGATAACTGAGTTAGTTAAAGCATAAGCACAGATCGCTTAGATCGTTGCTTCAAATCCTACCCGGTGTCAGTTGTTTAGACATTTATTAATTTGGTTGTTTTATTATGGCTATGTTAATTCAAGCTTACAATGTACTTGCTTTGTGACGTTGTTCTCAGATCTAAAGTAACGTTTAATAAATAGCAATAGGGTAATGGGTAACTACAAGACTTGCAAGACTCTTGTTGCAATACCAAGACCAGGTGTATTGGCGCAAGACCAAGACTGTCTAAGTCTCGTCTTGGTCTTGCATTTGGGCACCACTAGTTACATTTAAGTGAGAGCGCCCACCAAACTGGTATGGCAAGTAGCAAGTAGCACGCGTCTATTATAGCATGTTACTTAAAATGTAATCAATGCAAACGAATGATCAGAATGAATGACTTCACGGTCATTTTGGTGTGCGCTGAATCATTCGTTTTCATTAGTTACATTTTAAGTAACATGCTAGACGCGCGCTACTTGCTACTTGTCATACCAGTTTGGTGGGCGCTCTCCCTAAGAGGTGTCATTAGACTAAAACTAATTTCGCTACAAATCCAATGAAATACAATTTAAAAATGATATTTTCTTTAATGATATTGCTAAAATATGTTGTCACACATTATCTACACATTATGTTAATAATGTCTATTCACATTTTGAATTATTTTTGATAATTTATGTAGGTAAAACTATTACAAGCGTTCTAATGTACTTTTATATTTTCTTGCTCACCTCTATATTGGCAGAAGGTAAATAGTATTTTTTCTGTAGGCATGCTAACACTCTAACAAATATTGCTTTTATTTTTCTTTGCTTTTTGTTTTTAACAATTTTATTTTCTTGCTTACAATCTAACAACTTTTTTTTGATTTTGCATGATTTTCTTCTATTAATTGAAAATATTTATATTAATTAGGTGTAACACAGTGCGCTGGAATAATTTTTCATTTTTAAAAGATTCATTTAGTTTTAGCGTTTGTCATTGCATTTATTTTAAAGTTAATCGATAATTTTAAACAAAAATACTCTCTGTGAATATTGCGGTTTCTATGCATTTAACACGAAACTATGTTCTGGTTAACACTAAGAGATCAATAAATATTTTCTGATTGTGGTTTCTTGAGGGTCTTTTTGATTGCCTTATTTCTTTTCACTGGTAAGAATTTTCCAGTGTATTTCAAACGCAGCAGAATAAATCCAATATGGATCTGCGGCTCTGTTATGCACATTCATTGATCCCTAGGATGGAGACCGTTAAAACGCTAAAATAACGGAATGTACAGGGTTTCTCATTATATTTTGACCCCCACTTATTTTCCTTAATTTCGGGAATACAAAAAAAGTTTCAAATAAAAATTGTATTTTTGTATATGTACCGACCAACAGTATAGCAACAGACCAAATTTTATATACAGGGAGTGACCAGTAAAATGCATCTTCAATATTTCAAATGGGACACCCTGTATTTTTTTTTATAGTTTTGAGTAGCCCTGCATTTCCTGATTAGAAATATTTAATATAGTGTAGCATTAGTTTTGTTCTATAATGGCGTGTGGTACTACTATACTATACTAAGGTAAGAAAAAAATATATTTAGAAAGTCAACAAAATTAATGACTTACAATACTACATTTAAGATGCAATACTAGGTACATTTAAGATTACAATAGATGCTGAAAGCGGCCTCCATTGTTATTAATTCACAAGTAATGTCTTCGTCTCAAATTTTCTAATGCGTCAGATATTGTGTTATTATGACCATTTAAATTTTCAATTTCCACTCGAACTTTTGCCGTGATATTGTTAATATATGTATTTAAAACAAAATACACTTTTATTTTTAAAAACCCCCATAAAAAGCTATCACATGGTGTTAAGTCGGGACTATTTGGTGG